TATGACCCCCGCACGGATGAGTTTTTCTTTGACCGGCACCCAGGCGTCTTTGCCCACATCCTAAATTACTACCGCACTGGCAAGCTGCACTGCCCTGCGGACGTGTGCGGGCCCCTGTATGAGGAGGAGCTGGCCTTCTGGGGCATCGATGAGACCGATGTGGAGCCCTGCTGTTGGATGACCTACCGGCAGCACCGCGACGCCGAAGAGGCTCTGGACAGCTTTGGTGGGGCGCCCCTGGATAGCAGTGCCGAGGACGGAGACATAGATGGCACCGGAGACTCTGGTGATGGTGAAGAGGAGCTGGAGATGACAAAACGCCTAGCACTTAGTGACTCCCCAGATGGCAGGTCTGGGGGCTTCTGGAGACGGTGGCAGCCCCGCATCTGGGCACTCTTTGAGGATCCCTACTCCTCCAGATATGCAAGGGTAAGCTATGCAATCAGCACCCTCATCAAAACACTCAAACCTCCCTTCAGTCCCACTTCCTCCCAGCATCATCAGGGTTATCTCCACTGTCAGAGCAGAGCAGCCATCCATGTGTGTGGCCATACAAAAATCGCACACGGGCTATGGGGACATAACCCACACTCTCAAGCAGGCCCCGTGCATGGGGCATGAGCTCGTGTACTCCTATGTGTGATACCAGAAACCCTGATTTTCTAACAGGTTCCTAAAACCCCACCAGCCTGGGGCAGGGTCCCATTCACAGACCAGAAAGATCTCCATTACACCAGGTAATTTCCCTCCATGCACAGATTTTTACAGTCAGTCACCCCCCAGTAGAGAGACACCTTATCCAGCCCTCTTACGAGCTAACGGCTCTCTCCCGTTTACGAGATGGAGAAAGGATCCCAGGAGCAGGCAGTCCCTGGGAGACCAGGGGATTTGAAGAGTTTCTCAGCCTGGACTGGAAAGGGGGTCTGTTCCTTCTCATTTCACATATGTCCCATGTTAAATATTTATGACCATGCTTCTCTGAGAATGGGTAATTCAGTTCCTCACCTCCTCCCTGTCTTTTCCCTGGTGGGAAATGCAGTGTATTAATCAGAGGAGAGGGTTCATTCATGTAGAAGGGACACTGTGTTTTACACATTTCTTGCCTGGCTACTGAAGGACAACTCCTCCCCTCCTGGTGCCTGCAGTTGTTTTGGAAAGGGAATGCACACTGGTGCAGTTCACAGCGTAGCTGTGGATAAAGATGGTCTTAAAACAGTCACCTGACTCCTCTAAGTAGTTACCTTTCATGCTATTACATATGAGGATAATTACATTAATTAGGGCCTAATTCTGCTCCTGAAGTCAAAAGTAAAGAAAACATTTACTTCAGGAGCAGCAGCAGGATTAACCCCCAAGATACCCATATTGATAAGCAGAAAAATAGATGAAGGACAGTGCCTTTGCAAAGAAATTGGTTTGGGGAGGTTTTACTCCTCTCTCAAACGTACCTTAGTGAGAGCATAATTGCTGCCAGCCCTCGGTAGGGACGAGCGATGCTTTGGTGTGGGAGGATGATGGGAGTTCCTGAGGAAGATCAAAGAAGTGAGATCAGATTAGGGAGCAAATTGGATGGATGGAAGAAAGAGAGGTGGAAATGCAGGGACAGGGGAGCTGCTTGTGTATGAATGGGTGGTGGAACAGCAGCTGCTGGAGACTTTCGGTCTGAGCAGAGATCTCCAGCAGGGAGCCACCAGGTCTGCAGACTGAATGAATGGGGAAAGCTGGAGCTGAGCCTGGAGTTACATCTTGGTGCATTTCTAAAGATTCTTGTCTGCATACCCTTTGGAGATTTCCTCCCTGAACAAAGAAGTTAATATTTTAAATGAATTCCTTTAAACAGCATGGAGGATAAAGGAATAATAAAATATTTACCATGAGATGAAAGGATGATGCTGTTGACTTGTAGCTTTCAAATCCCTGATTTCTGCCAAGGGAACATGGAAACGGAGAGGGAAAGCTGGAGGGTATCCTTCAAAGGGCTTGCTTAGCTTCCTTTAATCAAGCCTGATATTAGCAGGCGTTGGTTTCAATAGCAGATCTCTCTGGTGCCCAGGAATCTGTTTGTAAAACACACTTCAAGTCAAGGCAGTGTGCTTGTCCAAGATTTTGTGGAATGGTCCAAAAGGCAAATGGATAATGCTGTCCCAATGAAAAGGATACAAATAGAGGCTAAAACACCCTTTTGCTTGGAAGCATGATATTTTAGGTCAGAGGAAAAAAATCTATAACCAATATTAAGAGTCTTTGTGATGTATAAGCTGGAATTTTAGGAGGATATAATTTTCTAATTCTCTATGGGTATTTTCATTTAGGAATAGGCATTTTATAAAGTGATTTTGGTTTGGGTTGTGGTTTTTGTTTGGGTTTTTTTCAGTAGATATTATACCAATTTATTCACAATTACATGTGCATAGCTGGTAGAATTCAACCCCCGATTTAGCTCTTCTTTCCTTAAAGAATTGTTATACTAGAGAAATACAAATTCTGGGCAAAATTAAAGCATATACTGAATATTTCATGGGTTAAATATGGTTCTTTAACTTGTATCTATGGAGATGTAGGCCATATGCATTAATATTTTGCATGAAGGAAGATGGCTTTCATCATCAACACATGCACACACTGTCCATTAAGAAGACATTATAAGACACTTAACATCTTCTAATAAAAGCCATATATTATGGTTATGGATGTAAAAAGAGATGAGAGTTTGATTTATGCTCCTGTAACCTAACACAGACATTGCAAAAAGACCTCAAACTCACAATAGCTAATTTACAGTAAAATAATTGATACCATCGTTAACAAGTGAATGGTATATTAAAGCAATCATTAGTAGAGTCAGGCAACAAATCCACTGTTGCCTCACTTTTAATTGTGTACGCTACTTTCAATTACAAACTATTTCAGTCATGCCAAAATTTAAATTCATATTGCCATTTTGTCAAAAAAAAATGCATCACAAAAATTTGTCATCCTAATTGGATCTGAGACTGCTACTAATGGTGATTATTACATACATGTTTGGTGTTTACATATGGCACCAAAACGATGTCAAAATAACATCTTAATATAAGCATCGGTTTACATAACCCTTATACTGTTACACTTGGCAAGTAAAAGGAATACAGTACATGAAGATTAAGATTAAATGAAAACCCACATATCTGAATAAAGCAAGATTTCCCTGGACTATATCTGGTACACTAATTCAGTCCATGTTAGGAACTGTCTATGGAAAGCTCAGCATTTACTCAAATCTAGCCATTCTTGGAGCATTTTGATGGACACTGCTTACAAATACAAGTACCTTTGACTGGTTTGCTTCGCCATCATCTAACTCATACTAAATTACATCTGTTCGCATTGTAGACAGCCAGGAGAGACTGGAAGAACATTTGTGTATGTCAGGCAAAATCAGCTAACTCTGCAAATTTTGTCTATTTCTAAACTTACTTGGACAAAGCATAAGCTCCCAGTCACTAATCGTTTGTCTTCAGGTGCAACATAGTCAACAGCTTCCTGTTACAACAATAGTGGCTGAGTTTAATTAAATTCTAGTTTTCTAAACACTAATTTCTTAAATAAGGTAACTCTTTCTAAAAAGATTAACTATGTTAAAAGATTACATTGTCTTCTGAATCTGTAATAGAAAAAGGTAGCTTGTTTCAAATCACAGATACCTTAGACACCTACCTTAATAAGATAAATGGGTGTCGTGTTTCTCTAACTTAAAGAATCCACATTTGGGTGACAGAGACAAAGTCTGGTACCTGGAGGTCTGAACAGAGTAACAGAGAAGGTGATGGAAAAGATCAGATTTACAGTTATACTGAGTGCATATGCAGACAGACAGGCATCCAAGTAGATTTGCAAAAGCATCTGATCAGGCAGCTAAATATCACTGCATGTCAATGGATATTGTGCACCTGAATTGGTGAGACGTTTCTTTAAAGCTTATTAGAACTGTCTGTTTTGCAATGTCAGGCAACTTTGTAAATTTATTTTTCATAAATAGATGCAAAGGGGGAAATAGAGTCACACAGAAAACTACAAAGATACACTAAAACAGCATATCCAAGAGTTAGGTTGTAATAGAGTTCCTGCATTCTGCACTCATTAGACTTCACAGGCCCCACAGTACACAAACGTGTGAAAAATACTTTCTTAGCATCCTCTCTCCTTTATGTTTATGTCTGGTCATGCTGTTCTTACACCAGCGAAGCTCCCGCTGACTTCCTGGGGAGTTTGGCCTGCAGGTACCTAACATCTTTGCCCCCTTCCTTCTCCTCCTCCCCAGCAGGATAAGGCTGTGTTTGTGTTAACTCACAGTCATTGGGTTAGTCAGAGCTTGGGAACCAGGAGCTTTCAGCTGAGACTCTGAGCTACTGCTCATGTTCAAATTGGACAGTTAAGCTTCAGTAATGAACCCTCAGGAAAGCTTTTGTAGTCCTTCCAAATAAACAGTTTTACTGTTTTTAAAGTAAAAGCTGGTTGGGGTCTTACGGAAAGTCCTCAACAGCTTGACTTGCCATCCTGGCATACGCTATACAGCTCTGATCTGGAAGAGGAAAGGCTTATGGTGAGACTCACTCGCCCTTCCCTCATGTTGTCCCTTCACATCCTGCAGAAGGATCTGCTTTCCTCAGTGGGTGATTTTTGAAGGACAAGTTTCTGACACTGAGGAGGAGACAGGAAAAAGGATAGTGGGGGAGAGATGAGGAAAAAGGTATTCCCCAGGGATTTCTTGCAGCTTTCTTTTGTGCATTCCAGAGCATTTCAACCTTGCTGTGTTCATTTAAACTGAATTTTCTCTATATAAACTACATCCCATAGGTACAAGAAGGCTTATGAGATCCCTAGGTTGCTGAATAACCATACTGTCTCAAGGCTTAGAGGCTGGGGTGATTTCTGCTCATCCTTTACCCTGGCCCAGTACAGCTAAGCTCAGGAATTGGGGAAAGTATCAGGGAGTGGGAATAGATACTCATTACCCTTCAATAAGGGGAGCTTATTCTGCAGCTGTGCGATGCAGGACTTCACACAGGAGTGCTCCACGGACAGAGCTCTGGGGGCTCCCGCTGAGCACGAGCAGATAGTGAGAGGAAGGAGGAGAGCTGCCCCACACGCCTTCCCCTACCCACAGGCACCCCTCTCCCTGGGGGGAGGGATTTCATCAAAGGGGCCCCGATGGAGCTGCTCTCCCACCTTGGGCCTTTCTGCAAGGTCTCCCCTGCAGAGGCATATCTAATCCTGCACTGAAGCTGGCTGCAGTAATTCTCACCATATACTTTGACAATTAACGAGACAGCCTAATTTTAACTGCACGCTGCATTACAGCTCTGGAAAAATGAGAATCTTTTCCACATTAAATGAAGTTTCTCCTGCACTTGTAATATAATGGAATTACAGATAGACATCTGTTAACT